CAAAGTGAAAAAAAGTCGAGAGGGGGGAGGAACAGAAGAGTTTCAAAGACGAAGTTAGAAAAGGTAGGGATAAAGGTGAGGTGAGTACTGTGAAGCAGTCGAATTTGACATACAGTGAGGTGATGGTAGTTTGAGTGAGAAATCAACTGCCAGTTAATAGACTTTTTGCCCAGGGTGCACCACGTGGAGGTAAGTCTATCGCACGCTGTCCAGGGTGCACCACGTGGAGGTAAGTCTATCGCACACACCCCTCCGCTTCCAAATAAGATGTTGATAGTGAAGGCATATTTCCAGGGTGCACCACGTGGAGGTAAGTCTATCGCACACCCACTTGGCTCTCCCCTCAAATTTCAACCCTACACGGATGGGCTTTCCAAATATATAAGTTCGTATATGCTATTCTTTCCTCAAGATGCGTTCATAAATCCCCTTGACAATTGGATATCGGCACTTCATAACTTGACATTTAAAATTAAAACAAGAGTTAGTTGCCGTGCAAATGTTTCCCTCCTAGCTGTCGTAGCCACTAATACTCGCCTGTCAATACACAGTCAATGCAGCAAAGTAAGACCCCTTAAAAGAAAACAGCAGCTCTGAGAAACGCACAATTCGCTGAGATGTCTTAATCAGAATGACTGATTTCACCAGGTGAGCAAAAAATAAGGAGTGAACACGTGACTTCTGAATTTGCAGTCGTGAATATTAACCCCTAAAAGACCAGTTGTAATAGTCATCATCTCCTAAAATCAATGTCAGTTCATTTCAAGCACGATACACAGAGGAATTAGACTGTTACTACACAAGTGTGATTAAGATTCTACCTTCTACTGACCGACAATTTGTTCTTTTCCATTCATCTCATGCTAATAATGCGCTTAGTACCTAGAGGGTATTCATGCTAACTCAATATTACTTCAAACGATTAAAAAAATTAACACTACTCCTGAAGATACGCATTAAAGGCAGATAACAATCCCACTCACTTGATTGAATAAAGCAGCAACATCCTCAGATCCTTCAACACGACGAATCCCCTTGCCACCACCGCCCTCAGAGGCTTTGATCATAACAGGATAGCCAATGCGATCAGAGACAGCCAGACATTCTTCTGGTGTCTTTACACAGGCATTTGCAAAAACATCTGGCGATATAAGCTCGGAGAGAACTGAAGAGCAGTGTTGGGGCGATTTTTCAAGCTTTTTTACGTCCACTGTGATATCTGTGTAGGGTGAGGTCAGGGAAAAAAGAATGCCAACGTAACTGGAGATGGAAGCCTAGAGATAAAGGGAATTGGAATGATCAACTTACGAGAACCACTCCATGGAACAGTAGGAACACCAGCACTTTGCGCGAGAATTGTTGCGGCGATTTTGTCACCTAAAGCCCACATTGCCTCGTGTGAAGGACCTAGAAAATAAAAAAAATAAAAATAGCAATAAGATGAGAAAGAAAAAAAGGACTTTCAAAGAGAAAATGACAATGGCGTAGTACGGATTCAAGAACAATCGCACGTATTCAATGCTGAGAATAATTCTTAAGCTTTACAACAATCGTCATCCTCTATGAGAAAATCACATTATGTTACCCCATCTTGACCCTTTACTATTATCATCGACTAAGACCTCAACTGGAGGAGCTGCGATGAGAACTTAGCGCAACATCATGTTTATGTTGACCGCTATGTCACTGGTATGTAACGATTAGGAAATCTTAGATCAATCAATCAAAAGGATGAAGGAGTTGAAGTTACTGTCAAAAATTTCAAAATGTACTTTTGGTAGCCTTTTAAAACAAATATAGGTAGTGGAAAAGATCCAAATTATTTTACCACACCTCAAATATTTATTATTTTTTAATTAAAAATACAATTTCCTTCTTATTTACCCACACCGATAAAGGACACTTGATCTCTATCTTACAGTAAGATGACTTTTGCCCTCTTAGTAAAATTTTGTGAAATCGTTTGGTCTGCGAGATTACCGCCAGGGATTTCTAGTTTATTGCATTATAACAAGAGGAAATAACATGCACCAGGAACGTTTCAATAAACCAAGTTTTATAAATACCATCGAAAGACTCACTTCACCCATGCTTTGAAACAGTTCAGAGAAATAATGCAGGAACTTAACTATTCCTATTCATAATTATATAAAAAGAAAAACAACAGCTTTTTCAATTAATTTTTATCAGTTTTGTGTTCGGTGTCCTGTTTGCAAAATGTAAGTAAAACCAAGTGCTGTTATTCTCAAAGCATGCCGTTTGTAAGTCCTTGATGTTGGTTTTTTAGCAAACAAAAGCATAATTGATTTACGCTGTTTTCAGATAACTAATAATAAGAACATTCCCATTATTCTATAAGTAATTGACGAGACGGAGTTTAAAAGATAGAAGGAATAGAAAGGAGATTCCATCAAAAGACACTCTAGGGAGGTAATAAAATCAGATCAAGAATTCAGTTAGTCAATTGTGCCGTTGGTTTAAATAGCTTGTCTAATTGCATTAGTCAAGTGAAAACAATGTTTAGTATAAAATTATTGCCTGGCAAATCACCGACATAAAAATTAATCTCCGTAAAAAAAGGAAAATTCAAAAATCAGATATTGATGTCAAGTGAAGCCAAGTCGCTGTAGAAATTTTAAGAATATGGCCGACATCATTCACCTGCAGTAAAAACTAACCGCTTAAAAAATCGCCCATTGTTCGTCGAATGAATTAAGCGTTTTGAAGAGTAAAATTACCTTGTAGTAAATCCACTGCCAACTTCTACCTCGATATTTCTACGAATTGGCCCAACCATCACTAAGTGAAGGCCTTTCTCATCAACCTATGACTCATACTTCTTATAGCCATGATTACTTTCAGTGTGCACATCATTTTCCTCTGTCTTCTTTCGAGCTTGTTATGAAATTAGCGGAAGTTTGGAAGACCATGAACTTACCCATTTTCTCTACTCTGATTTGGCTAATCATAAGTTGTGGCCCACTATTAAAAATTAAAAGAGGCCGCTAATACTAATTAGCACCAGTCTAACCTTTCAACTAAGAGTGATTTGAATGTTTTTCTCTCATACGAAAGGAATGCTAGGTGGAATAGGAAATTTACAAGTCATTGGAAGTGAGCTCTATTCCATGGCGTAGTTGAGCCCTCTTTCTCCAAATAACCAATACCAAGTTGCATATGTACACGCACACACAAACACACAAGTCGGTGGGATATTAGTAGCAAAGGTGGCTAAAACAAGGTCATACAGACACAAAGAGTCAATGACATTACCACGAGGAGGGTATAAAGTGGCATGAGTCTTAACTACGCCATGATAAGGAAGTCACTGATTCTCAAGACTAAAGAAAGTGGCAAGAAAATGTACTCCTTGTTAAAACTTACCTAAAAAGGCAATGTTGTGTTTGGCAAGAACTTCCGGCAATTGAGGATTCTCAGACGCATGTCCCCAACCAGCCCAAACGGCCTAAAATGTGCAACAAAAATTGTACTTAAAAATGAGGTAGGAAACACATGATTTTCTTTCAACGAGTTGAAATCGCAAAGCACTTCGTAGCACCCAACATGAGCCACAATCGCTTTAGAATTCTAACTATTATCAATACAAGGGGTACATTACTTTTTAGACATCTTATTCCAGAAATAAAAATCAACAAAAAACATCTGCAAACATTAATAACATAAGAAGGTTTAGACGTGAGAAAAAGCACACTATTCTGATCAATAGAGAGAAAGAGAGAAATAGATAATGACGTCAGGACATAGAGACTTTTGCGTTGATTGAATTCTAGTCACACTGAACTCCTATTTTTACGCAAAATATGTACACTTCAAGTCAATATTCGAGAAATTTAACACTTCAATAAGCAACTTCCAAATCAACAAGAGAGGTCGTATTCGCGATGTCCAGAGGTTTAATTCACTAATGAAATTAATTTTGACCGATAGTTCCCATTAAGAAAAGGCTACAATAAGCCTGTGTCTATGAGACATGGCAATTTCAGCACCAAACAATCATTATTATATCACCTCTAACTTTAACTTTTTTTCATTAGACTGAAGGGTTATCTCTTTTGCGATGACAGCGTGACAGTAAATTCGAAGCTCATGGAAAAAAATACGCTAAAGCAGAGTAATAATATTGCGCATTACTCGTAGTGGGAGCAGTAGAACATAAAAATAGAAGAAACAAAACTGCAATTTGTCAGCAATGCCAATAGCGACCATAATTACTTCTTCATAGTAAATTCCTCATTCCCAAATAATACAGGCCAAAAGTTCCCCGAAACAATACGGAAATTGCCAACGGAATTTTAAGGAGAAACTCCGATGCTACTACCCTTCTGGTTGACCAAAATTAATTACGACCGTTCACCATCAACACCACTAGATTTGCAGACACCATGTTGACCGATCTTCCTCCAACGAAATAACCATGGCAAAAAATTTTTTATCCCATTTAAGAACGCGTTTTCTAAAACTCACACGCTTGGATAGAGGCCCGGTGAGAAACTTGTATTAAGTTTCTCCATCAGCGTACAGACTTAACTAGCCTGATATCCATTCCATTCATTGAATGCACACCAAACGGGTGTCAAACCCATGACTTCTAGGTGTGCAGATCAACTAAAACTTCCAAGGAATGTATTTCGACACTGATTTTGAATGGTAGAGGGTACTTGAGAGCAGTTTTGTTTAGGGAAACCGTACTTTAGCATACGAGTGGACATTTCGTTCACATATTGGTTTCCGAATATACGTAACTAACTTTACGTTATCCTTTCACACAACTACCTACTAATGCATTTGGATGATGTCTGATTAAGCAAGCTATATTCGATTATCAACCGATTGCTAGAAAATATCAAGTACGATTAAACGCTTAAGTCATAGGAATTTCAAAACAGAAGTCACGTTACCGTCAACAATTAGTGAATAACCACAAATATACCTATGCACGAATGTACTAAAATAATCCCTGATTGAGAGAAGAACGTCATTTGACCAATATTATTCAGTGCAAATTATCATTTCATTCATAGGATGGGTTCGAATTCGTGCTGTCGGATGTAAGACGTCATGCTGCTCGTATATAAGAAGCGGCCTCATGCGCACGTATACCCGCTGACTCCAGACATAGAACTTTTAATAAGATGATACTTTTAGCGAAACAAGTGCAATCAACACTCACATCGACATGGTTTGAGACAGCTGTCTGAAGAATGAGTTCCACATTGGCGTAATTGTTGACGTTTGAACCACCAGGCACCATGACCATCTTGTTGGCCATCTTAATGTACTCGGCACTGGCATGTACATCCTCCGGGGAGGCCATACAGACGAAGAAAAAGGCCTCTGCATTTCGGAAGGTCACATAGGCCCAGGAACGAATTGATCGCATGCATTTCACTGCCGCAATGCCATTGTTAGCCACTAGGATCTAGACAAAAGACAAACAGAGAATAAATTGAATAAAAGAGAACAAAACAATCTAAAACAACCGGACTCCTGATGTAGCGAGAATATGATTCCAAACCCTTATGGTTAAACGAATAAGGCAAACCTGCAGTTTGTAATTGTTTGAGGAATAGGATACGTCGTTTAGTACAAATCGATCAAAATGGATAAGTACTGACAAACGTTGCCTTATAGAATAGTGCTATAATTACCGACCCCTTGTATAATGATTAACAGCCGGTCAGTATCAAATTAACATCAAATAAAGTAGAAAATGAATTAGAGAGGGGCCTGCATCATTCAAATCACCACATTTAAAATGAATGCATAAGTATCTACTCAATGTGCAGTGAACTAAATGAGAATAATTTGATTGACAGGTGAAGTTGAAATATCCTAAGCAGGAAAATGTATTACGACATCTGAAAATTGTCTGAAAATTTTAATTTTTCTAACTACACAAGCTCTTAAAGATACCATGGAGCAATACAAGGCTAAGTACTTTCATAATTGTAAAACCCAAACGTGATTAGAAAGCTGACTCTTAGGAAACTTATACATTGATACAAACTACTTTCGAACACAACTACACAAATCTAATTTGAAAGGACGATAACCATTGGAAAATAAACAAAAAGCCTACAATTCCTCAGATCCTAAACCGCGTTGTACCTATGAACTGATTATTTGATGTGTTGTGATGTGATCACACACACATTAAATACTTGTTCGATGATGAACAAATAAGAAGCTAATAGAAGATGTTTTATAAGACTAGCATCCACATTTTCGATACTTTTCTAAGGTAATAAACCAGTCAATTGAATCAGTGAACTACATGAGAACTAGTAACAGTAGAAGCGGTCGAGAAATTTGATCGTAAGAGAGATGTCATTATGATGTACGTTAGATGAACAAAAAGAGAAATAATTCAGAGCAATGCGAGTATCCTATTTCATGCCAGCTCAAATCAAGTACGTGAACGAAAGAATAAAAAATATTTATGAGACCCGTCATGAGAAGAACGATGGATTATCCTCTTAATAAAACAACAAAATGAAGAAATTTAATAAAAGCATTCGACCCCTTTCTTGTTCATATTTCAATAGATGCACATCCTCAAACTGTAAGCTCATCCTAAGCAAATAAGAGGTAACTTGATAAGAAGATTGATGTAACTATAATTAATTTCGTTGACTTCAAGCACTACACCAAACTGAAAAAATGGCAATGAAAATGAAAACTTGAGGTCCTAACTTGAATAGCCTTAGATGTAATTCTTTAACAAACAACCGCTCTGTAATTGCACAAATATTCGACTTTGAGACTAGAAGTAGGATGCTTAACATCGAATTTTACCGTCTGATGCATCAAAAGTTATCAAATAGGATCAAGGAACGTACCCTTTTTATGCACCGTTGGCCATTTAAGGCTTTAACAAAATCATCAGTTGATAAAAACGACATTTTCCGATTATTCAGGGACCCCGAGTCGTGTCTACAAAATAAGAAAAACCATCAGATCGGTTTTAAGAAATTAAGCTCAAAGGCGAATGAGCAAAGTGAATGAGCAAATGCGTTGGTGAAGTGCAACTTTTAACAAGATACAGAAGCAAAATCAACCAACGTTTCAGCTTCCGGAGGAATCGTCATCTCGTTTGGAGGATGTGATTGCTGTGATGTCCTTTTGTTGGACTTTTTATTTGAGCGATTTTTTGTCATCTAAATGAGCAAACATTGTACTTAAATTTGCACAGAAGCCCATTCAAAGATAAAATAAATCTCAATCATAAGTTACAGCGATTGAGATTTTAGTTAGAAGGCGTATTTTGGCGGAATTTTTAACATAAGCAATATTGCATACTTTCCAACTGATTAAAAATTATCGTTTTAATTGCCAAAGTTCCCCATTTAAGAAAATTAGTAATGGAAATATACACTCATTGAATAATTCGTCAAAATGATACATTCAAAAAGCTTTTAAATACGTAAATATTTATCTAAAGCATAGAAATGACAATAAAAGTGAATAATTTTGGAACTAAACGAACGGCATACCAAATAAAATAAAATATAGTCCTATTGCTGTTAAAGTCTATACCCAAATACGGAAGTCGCAGAAGTGAGAGCGCAAGCGCTAATCTGCAAAGAGCCCGCACAAAGTGGTTATATCAAGGTCAGAATGGGGATCGATTTTGCGATCTTTAAAAAATGTGAAGAAAATCATTTTAAACGTCATAGGTCTTTAAAACGCATTTTATTAATTTCATTCTGACTTTATGATATCCATAATATTGCACATTTTTGTTTCCGACAGCTAGAGGACATTCAAATCTTATCAATAGACTCCATGGTTTTCCAAATAATGCATCAATATTATAATCAATTTCTGTTAAATTAGAAAGCTATTTCAAATTGTTTAACTATTAAAAATTGATGCTCAATTTGTATTCGAAAATGCTCATTAAAAAGTTCAACGAAAGTGCATTTAAATATTTTTTCCCGAATTAATAACATACATTTTAGAGCGTCTCTCAATATTTTGACATCTTAAACTAGAACATGAGTAGATTTGGTAACCGTGTTAGATTTACCTTTTTAACACTAGCAAAAAGTTCTCCCCGTCGTAAAACTTTTCCATCAGCTACTATACTTGAATTTTACCAACATGCAAGATGAGATTTTTAGTTTAATACTTGGAATGGCTTCTTTTTTAATTAAACTGGGATATTTTTATATTTCGTCATTATCAAATTCACTTCACAATAATCCTGCAAAATCAAGTAATATTTACATTGTTTTAATTTAGTACAAAGACTTGGCATAGTAAACGGAGGTTTTTTGATATATTTGTAGGTACTAGCGTGACTGAAGTGCTGTTATCTTGTGTGAATCAAGTCATCCATATTTGTTTATTTTCAGTCATTTTTAGCAACATAGAACACCGAAATTCTTCTGAAAGTCTTTTGAGTAATGGAATTGTCCTTATAATTATGCTGAAATTGCATTTACATGTCGCTCATGGCAACGCCAAGCAAGAGCTTTCAGACGATCATTAAAACAAAAATAAAACTCTTATAATTACGACAAACTATTAAATATCTAAAAAATATTTATGCAGAAGCGTAACATTTACAGGAGAATTTTAATGGACTTGTTGAATTATCATTCTTCCATACAAAATAATATTATCACCGAAAAATAACTCAAATTTGAATTGTTTCGGCAACTACGATTTTTAAAAAAAGGAATGGAAATAATTTTTAAAAATTACATCATTAGGGAATTGAATTTTTCCTGACTCAAATAATTTCTTTTAAATGCTTTATCACTTTCATAACTTATCCTCCATTCTCTAAATCTAATTGAGACTTTTTCGTGCGTCTTCACAGCAATCTCCTCTTAGAGATATCATAGAGCTATATTTTAGCTGCATATTACCACATGTATGTAATTAGTTAGATTTACTCATATTGGTAGATCAGTTCTGAAGTGAACAGGTAATCTAACCCACTATAAAATTTAGCTAAAATAGCTTTTTTAATATCCCCTTTTCTTCGTAAGACAGTGAATACATTTGATTGTTAATGAAGGACAGCCCTAAATGCATGTATGTGGGACAATTTGGTGGCATCTTATTTTTATCGATCGCCAGACCTAGAATAGCATGTGACACTGGCTCATCTACTAAAGCAAAATAAACAGGAATAAAGGAAGATTATAGCTCAAGCGACCATTAATTAAATATAAAAGTATACTTACTTATATAGGATCGAATATTTAATGATTGATTTTTTGTCAGATTAGCCAACAATCACAATGACTAACGTTTAACAGATGGTTACCCATGACCAGGTATGAGCGAAAGGACCTAAGAAACACTTAAAAACGAAAATTATAAATTTTCCACGAATGAGACAAAAATACCGGATTGAGATTACTTAGTGAAAAATCACAATTTCGTCAAATAATTTAATCGGTAGAAAGGATTCAATACAACTTTTAGCAAACTAACCGTAATCCCTCTATTTATTTATATAAATTATCTCAATGAGTGCGTTATATCAGCTATTTGAAGTCCAAAAAGATATTTTATGACGTGACCATTAAGCCTTAAATAATAACATCAAATGCAGGAACTTTCAGTCACTAAACTCATAATAGTGCTAAATTGTTAATATGTATCTAGTAAAACTATATTTCCTCAATTTTAATGAATAGAATGAATTAATGAATTAATTAATGAATTCTATTAAATAGAATATAAATTTAAGCGCATATATTACATGATACTATCAAATCATAAGTATTATATTACTTCCATTTATTGCGCACATTAAAAAAGTGTTAATTAATTTAAACTTACCGTAAAATAAACATTTTCACTTATTTAAAAGGCCTTTTATACTAATATGATATAGCCTTATGGTTGTTTGTGTTTGTTAAATTAGTCTAATGTCCTTTTAGTACACATTATGAGTTATTCCTTGTATCTTTTGTTCCTTTTGCAATGATCTTCAAGTTGATACTAGAATTTTATTCTTCAAATGCACTATGGTTTTATCTATTTTGATGTGGAAACTGTTGATTCAGCTTAGAATATATTCATTATCTTTCATTTTCTACTGTTAATTGTTTGACATATGACTGCTTCCGATAACCTACCACCTTCTTACATAAACTGGTCCAACTCGCAATTAGTTTCGTGGATAGAGGGTCTTGGTGAATTTGTTCAATGTTATCTCCCTTCTCTCCGCACATCAAGTCTGACTGGACGTCGTCTTTCATGCCTGACTGAGTCTGATTTAAAATCTCTCGGAATTACAAAAATTGGTGATTTACGTCGGCTTCAAGCTGCTATATCTGGTCTTATTGAAGATTTTAATGGTCTTGAAGTGGAAAATATGCAGAGTCTTTTGTTTAATGTTATTCGAATAACTGATCAGTTTTCAGCTCTTCTAAAATGTATTCGTAATCAAAGTTCACTTTTCGAGTCCACGATCGAATTTGAACATCTCCTTGTTAAGTGTCTTCTTCACATGGGTTTAATGGTTAAAAAGGCAGCCTCTTGGCTTGAACGGGGACCTTTTTCTCACTTCTCTCAATTATCTTCTCTTCGCGGACTTATGTTACAACATACTATTGATCTTAACACTGTCCTTCAATCAGCTTTGAGAAAGTCGAGTTTACTGACTTATCAAAATGCAATGCTTGAGTTGACTAGTGAATTAAAAGATCGGTTGGAGGTTGTTATTCATGATTGTGATGATTCTATTTTACTTACTCCATGTTCAGTCGAATATGTATCTTTAAGAAAGGATGAACAAGCAGCTTACGTATGCTCAATTTTTATTTCAGTGTTCACTTTTTTAGGGTTTCACTTTCTACACTAATGAATTCAATGTTCACATTATTAAGTCACTGGACTCAAACGTAAATGCATTTATCCTAATAATTTGAATATTTTCTGTTAGTTGCAAGCTCCTGCATTCACCTGTGGTGCAATATCTAAAGACGACGAGATTGTCGAAGTCAATTATCAATTAGTGGTGAGTTTTCACTGAATTACTTTTTAAGTTTGATGCTCAAGTAATTTTTTTTCTATTCATTCATATATATATATATATATATATATATATATACATATATAAAGAAAACGCTCGATAATTAGCCAATGTACAAAATCATCTAGTTGAGAGGGGAAGGTAGATCTTCAGCCTTAGAGTAACAGGCTTTTGGGTCGAGGTGGGACAGGTGTTGGAACTGCTGAGACCGGATTGTTGGAGTGGGAGGCAGTAGGATTGTGGACTTCGTGCATGCTTGTGGACCTTGCCGGTTGAGCGAGTGAGGCAGAATTTGGTCCACTGACGAAATCTTCCGGCGTGTGCTTGCCTGACTATTAGTCTCGGCTTGTCGGTTGAAATGCAGTTCTGAGTTGGAGTTTTGGGGACCTGTAAGGGTAGGCTTTCGAAGAGTAACGTGCTCCGGCTGTTATTTTCCATTGGGTAGAAGGACGAGGTTCTTGAGTCTCGTAGAGATGCACATTCGAAACGCAACGTGCTCCGGCTGTTTCCTGTTTCCAAGGGCGTTCTGTGGGAGTCATAGCCAGTGAAAGGAGAGAGTTGGTGTGACGTTGAGGTGCTGATCGTTCGTGGGAAGGAATCATTAGATGGGGAGAACGATGTGAAGAACAATCGCGTCGCCGATGAGAGATCGAGTCTCTGTTGAGCGGAAGTCAGGATCTGACTTGTTGTGGGTAACGGCAGCGGACGTTAGGTGATGATCATTCGAGTAGATGAGATCACCGAGGGAATTGAGAAATGCTTAGTGGAAATCCCGACGCCAGTGAGCGATTGATTCTCTGCTGAGTGTTTGAAGTCAGGCTTTGGCAATCACGTCAGGGTCACCAATTTGTAGCTGATTGCTACGCTAGTACAGCCTGACAAACTCAGAAATCTCTATGGCAGATTCTCCAACATCTAGGTAGACTCCCAGAACCAGCTAAGCTATAGCCCAGCTATGAAAGGAAACAGACGTGTAGCACGGAGCACGTTTATTCAGTACATATATTGTGGATAACGTGTACACGCAGGGAGCCATTCATGATCAGGATGGCGGTTTAAGGTAAACAAACGGAGGCTACTGATTGGCCACTGCAGGGATACAATGACGCACAAAGCGATAACGTGTCCCACATCATTTTCGTGATAGTGATAACATATTGATAGGTGGGGGGGGGGGGGGGGGGGGGGGGGGGGGTTTTTTTAAAACCCGTGTTTNGGTGGGGGGGGGAGGGGCTTTGTTTAAACACCTGTTTTTATGTTTGTCATTCTAAATTGTAGCCTTCTGAAATATGGGATTAAAATTTTCTTAGGTCTGTAAAGGTTAGTACTGTTTCACATGAACAAACAATAGCTTCTTAATCCGCTGTTACTAAATCAACCATCGCCTTTACTGGAAGCACGCCAGCAAAAAATATATGTGAAGTGCTTCAGTCATTTAAATATCCTTACTGAAAAGACTTTTCTACTTTTCATGATTAGGATGTCTCTCGCGTTTATTCTTTATGAATACTAGTTTCCTAAGCATGCGCCATGCATTTAAGTATCAAGGTATCGGCCTTGTCAGCAATTGTTAAAGAGCTTGAGTTGATGATTATTCTGGAGTGGTCTACTTCATTTCCGACTCAAGGCCACTTGGTGTTTGATTTCGAGATTGATATACTTTGAGCCAACAATTCTAAAATATACGCAATGAAATTGTGGAGAACTCTTTAATTCAGTTTTTGTCGGTAATGACAACTCTCCCACTGGACACCGAATAATATGCGACAATTGCTAATGCCTTTCTAACGATACACATGACCATTTCTTTCACGAAAATTTCTGATAGCAAACTTTACTGCTTTGGTATGACTTGTTTCAACCGCCTTGACATGAACTTTCGACAAGAATGTAATTTACGTCCTTTTTCAGTGATATGCTGGTGGTGGCGTTTTCTTCTATGGATGTTTGGGGATTCGCAATCAACGGTACTAATCTGTCAGCTAATGTCAAACGCAGTAATCTTAAAATATTTAATTTTGAAATCATATCCTGTTTGGATGAGTACTCAGCGGTATCACAAGGTGCTGAATGTGTTGAAATGCCCTTATCTGTTCCTTAAAATGATAACCAAGTTTTGCGATTTGTCAGAAGAATGTAGTGAAGATTGAAAACTAATTTATGTTAGTTTTTTTCATTAGTCCATAGCTTTCTTCTTCTTCTGAACCATCGTGGAAAGCATGTGAGATCACTGCTCCTATAACGTAACTTGAAGCATCTGCTGCGACGAATAACTCAGTTTTGGCTAGTAATGTGTTTGAAGCTTGTCTGATTTTGACACAACTTTCAGTTTCTCAAACGTTCCATATCAATCAGCGGGCCAGTCCCTAAGAGTGTCTTTATTGAGGAAACGATTTAATGGCCCGCGATTTTCATGTAGGAAATGTTCCCAGGAATGAAGGAAGAGTCTGAACATCGGTTTTAGGTGGAATGCTCATAATAGCTCGAATGCGAGAACCTCTTAAGTCAATATTGGGACCAAGCTTTTGTGTGGATTTCAAGAGGGACTCGCTTCTCTGAACTTGCGTCTGCTCATTAATCTATCATACGTTTAAGCAGACGTTCAGTTTGAGTGCTTTCGCCTTTCCTCCAACTGTTATTTCACTAATTATATATCCCTTATGAGTTAGAATATAGTGACAGCTGTATAGTAAATCAATATGTTCCCCCTCCCCCATGCGTATTAATGGTCAGATGTTCATGGCATTCTGCCTTGGCTTTGACGTTTAGACATGTCCCTGTTAAATCCAACTTTGCAAAACATGTGCCATCGTTGAGAATGGTCAATAAGTTTTCAGTAGCTAGAGTGGAATAGTAGATATCTTCAAGTACTACATTCAGTCAAGTTCGTCATTCAGTTTTAAGGCGTCATCAGGAGTGTTTGGAGTTCTGTGGTTCATCGGCTGGAGCACTAAATAGTCGAAGTTGTTTCGAGTGTTTCTTGGGGTTGAAATATTTCAGAGATAGTAGCCAATTACTCATTTGATAAATAATTCTTATTTCCTATTAACACTTCAATTTTATTCAAAACTATCTGCCATCACATAGTTATTCGTTGCGTGGCGGAATATTCACTGTTAATATTTACTTTGTGTTTTATCGATGTCGAGTTACTTTGATCCTTCTCTCTTTTCCTTCTCATCTCTGCATCTCATTTTTTCCAAACCCTAATTATGTATTTCACCTGCTAGGGAATCCATCCTTCCTTTATCTTACCTTATTAAAATTATTACTTCTATCTTCCTTCTGGTGAAGTTGATTCATGACATATTTTTATGGATGGCAGTTCAGCCACCCATTCCTTCTAACAAATGTATATGGCGGGTAGCTAATGCATTTTCGCATGTACAAAGTGCAAAATTGTTTGCTTATTTTCCTTGCAGCTTGGTTGGGAGCACAATGCAGTAGTTCGATTGATTCAACAGAATACTCGTCGGCTTGATTTGAGAATTCGTAAGCGTCCCTCCCAATGCTCTGATTACTCGATGACCTCCCAGCGTCATCGTATGCATGCCTTGACCAAGTCTCTGCGTCCCTTCACGGCTGAACCACAGCATTCCAGGTTAGATATTTAAATAAGTGGTATTTAAGGGTCCTATGTGGCGCTGAGTCTCCGTCGGTTTAGGCTTGATTGACATAGTATTGAGGATATATGTTGTAGATTAAGTAGGAAGGATTCAATAGTCCTCTAGTTCAAATAAAGTCCACTTAAAAAGAAGCATTGATTATTACATGGGAACCAATTGGCTCTCTGCTTGGGGGGGGGGGGGAATAGTAATCGATTAGCTCAATGTCTGAGTGAGTAGGTCCGTCAATATTGCTTAGGTACATGGAAAACATAGTTTGTCACTCTACAATGATTATAATAGGTTAATTCTTAATATGAACTGAGCATTTGGTATATTATTAAAGTGGCCTAGTGTTTAGCTTCCAGATCGAAAATTTGAAAGGGAAATTTTCCACTAACTGTAATGCATTCTCAACTTTGAAATTTAGCTGTCTTCTGATGTTAATTAAGAACAGTAGTCAAAAAACTTTTTTATCAAAGCAATATTAAAGCCATTACGCCTTTTAGACGTTCAGATTTCATCCGGAATCGTACACCTAAACGTCGAACTCAGCCTCTACCGTCAGTCTCACCAAATACTTCAGCCACATCAACTGGTACAACTACAGCCAATATCTCACACGAGGAGAAGGAAGAAGAAGCCCTTATCGCTGAGGTTCCAGAACTGTATGAAAAGCCATCACGCCAATCACTACACCAATCCGAATCCCTGAAATCTCCAGCGAATTTATCAAGAACTCACAGCCGACCACGTCACGAGCGCTACTGTCAAGCCCTTCAGCCCTCTCACCTTATTCTCTCTTCTTCAAATGAGGAACGAACCCCCAATACAGAGTCATCTTTTTCTTCTTTGTCTCTCATGGAGCCTAAAAGCGAGGCTTCGATTTCTCATAGAAAGACCCGTCGAAGACCTGTTACTTTGGGATCTTTGGACGAGTTCGCTAAAACAAGTAATACCGTTTCAGCATCATCTACCCCTCCTCCGAATTTGGGCCTATCAAAACTTCAGACTAACTCTCAAGGGTGGTTGTGGCTCAAAAAACGAACCTCAAAATCATTTGGGAACCGATATGTCAAACGTTGGTGTGTATTCAAGCAAAATGCCCTCTACTATTATCGTAATCAAGAGGAAGAAAATGCTGAGGGACTAATTCTCCTCCATGGGTTCACAATCTCCCCGGTGTCGAATGAAAGCGGTCGTTCGGGGAAATATCCTTTTCGAGTATACAATGAGTGGACACGGTTTGTATTTGCAGCTGATAGTGAGAGGGCACGAACTCGATGGATGAATATGCTCGGCTTGGCAGCGATTGGTCAATCAGCGTGTTTATGGACTTCGCCGATTGGTGGATTCCATCCAGGCTACTTGCCGTCCTCCACGAAAGTGGAAGAGAAAGAGGTGGCGAATGTGTCGAGCCCACGACTTCTGGAACCACCTAGACCTAGTACATCGAGTGGCGAGAATTTACTACGACGTCAACCAGTGGTGAGCTAAAATTGCTACTGATTTATTTTAAGTCTATCGTTGTTTTTGATGTTGGCTATTAATTACTTATTCGTCTTGTTTATGGGCTACTGATATGTTATAAGTATAGCATATAAATAAATAAATATATATATGATGTTAAGGTTTTATTTTATAGACAATTCATCGGTGTTCTTCAAGTCTCAATGTGCCCTCATCCTCGGGTCTACATCATCCTCCAATCGATGCAGCCTCGGTATCTAATCGTCAGATAGATCAGCACTCTGGTCACAACCACCACCACTACTTATCTGTCAGTGCCACATGTCTAACTGCCAATGATTCGGCAGCTGAATCATCAGACGAGGAGTCAGAAATAGCCTCTCGAAAACAACATCTGGCTTCGGTGGTAATACAGACCAAAAGTGAAGAGGGTCAAGAGACAAATGAGGAACAAAATGCTGATCAGTCACCATGTCGTTTGACACGCCGTGCTGCCGTGATTCGTCGAAGACGCATCCGACGTCTCACTGAGGGCTCGATTTCCCCCTCAGTCTTCCTAACCTCCCCTCCTATGGTGATTCGAGGTCAAAACCACCCAGTACCTTCCGAGTGGATGTATCTCTCTTCAGAGACGGTTGTGGTAGAAGGTGAGAAGAGTCTGGAACAGAGGCAATGCCGGCGCAACTTAACTCTTCATTCCACTGGAACTAGTAGCTGCGGAGATGAAGGTGATAGTGGTGAAAGTCTTCAATTGCTCGTCCAAAACCCCAACAGACTTTCTCCTTCCTTTTCATTGTCTAGTCGTTCTTCGGAGTCGCCAGAGCAGAATTCAGTGTAATTTTATGTATTTTTATGCTAATCTAAAGTGCCAAAAGAAATTTCCTTCTGACTCTTGGTGACTTTTATTCATAATTCGAGTTTCATGAGAACGTCGTAAGTAAGGTACTCATTTAACAGTACTTAGACACTAATATGATTTTGGCTGCCATTCTACAATTGCTAAGCGGCCGCTATTGCTCGGGTGTGGTAGGAAGGAGGCATAGGACGCATAATGCAAAGACGGTTGCATTAACGCAAACGTATTGCTTACTTGCTTACTTGTTTAGTTGGTAGCATAACGATGCTGGGACCTTATTCCCTGACATGAGCAAATATGCGAAGAAGAATAGAGCAACTTTCTACCTTAGAGATGGACTCTACCATCTTTTTTCGACATTAAAATGGTTTATATTTTTGATCATGAGAAATAGCCGGCATATCCACTAAGAAGCAGTTAAAGAAGTAGTAATGTTGTTTGTCGTTCTTCGTTGGGATTTACCTCCATCTCATGATGGAATGAATTCACTGTGTGGAGTCTAAGTGCTCAATTTTTATAATTCCACTCACAAGTGTGTGGGAGAAATAATGTTTATGATAGTGAGATCAATTATTTTAGTCCCGCTTATTTGTGATTTGCTATATCCTAGAAGATGGTGGGGGGGGGGGGGCATGACTTATAAATGTACATTTTGAGTATAGCATAGCTCCTTAACTTTTAACCGTAATATTTTGAAGTGACGTCATAAGGCACAATTGAAGAGTCCAAAGAGGGAAATTTTTGGCCACAGTTTGCAACTAGACAAGGATTTCGTAAGAGCCAGCCGATATGATAGTAGTAACCAACTCCTGCAAATGTGGCCTAGAGGTATACGACCATATAGGGTCACTTACTCAATTTAATGACGAAATTATTACTTCTCCCTCCCTCACACTCACCGATTTTCACACCTTCATTAAAAATGACGTGCGTTTGCGCATACGAAATCAAAGTTTTGACCACGCGCCCCCTTGATGAGCAATAAAACATCGATTTTGCGCAATTAACTGACCGATTATGTAATTAGTCACCGGTTGGTATGATTGCAGTCGTCGCAATCACTTTACTGATTTTTTTAATAATAATTGCTAATGGAAGGCCAAAGTATTGCCTTCTATCAGCTTTCGGAAACCTGAAGTCGCAAGGGCCCCCAATTAATCTGTACACATTGGCGAACATAGTTAGTTAACGGTCCGATTAGTTAAGGAATCGGGTTTACGAGTTGGAGTTTGCTGCATGGTCTATGATAAGACAACTTACAATTTCTCCTTCCCAGCTCAGACTTCATCCTTGAGGTCTTTGCTTATAGCGAATAATTGACAAAATGGTGACTTTAAAGATATTTATTTATCCCAAATGGCAGGCGTTTTGATTGTTATCATTAGCCCTTTAGCTGACTTCGGAGGAACATCAAAGTGACAAAACTCGAGAGGGTTGACAGAATAATGGTTCACAGATGTAAAAGAGACAGACAGACACGAAGACAGAGAAAAGGTAAGATGATTACTATGAAAGCGATCGAATATGACACAGTGGGGTCATGGTTGTTTGAAGACAGAAGTCAACTGCTGATTAATAGACTTTTTGCCGTATGAGTATACATTGCCCAGGGTGCACCACGTGGAGGTAAGTCTTTCGCGCAACCCATTTTACAAATAAGGTTTTTATTCAAAGCTATTTTTCGTTTGCACATCAAATTTCCGTGATAAATAAGTTTTGAAATTGTCGTTAAGGCGAATGGACAATGGGGTATTTCTAATTGGGCAGTTAGTAGGTAAAACGCATCATAGACTGTGATATACAGAGTTAAGAAATGAAAGACCACTTCAATGCCGATGGTTGTTCCATAGCAAAAATTTGAGGAATATTTCTATATAATAGATTCAGATTGATCGCAAATATCCTTCGCATATTGGGAGTTATACCTTTGGACAATTTGTTCACCTTCAAAGCTATGTCAAACAACAGTCGCGCGGCCTCTCGAGTTTCGAACGTTAGTGAATTCAAATAGGTCAAGTTCCAATGATTAGTTATTAATTTGAATGAAATATATGAGAAGGCTTCTTTTAACGTTTTAAGCTCGTACAGACATGGCTTGTGAAGAGTCCGCACAGTGGTTTCATCGGTGAATCTCAAACTATTGTGGGTTAAACTTTGCAATTTGTCGCTTTACATTTAGTATCAATAAATGACAATTAAATATTAATCAATATCAACTTCAGTCTCATCTTCAGATGAATTTAGATCCTATTCATTTTGTTGATGCATTTTACCAAACCTCCGCTAAGATACTCATACTGAAATCTCACAATTATTTATCAAACGTAAAATATTAGGTTCTAGCCGATCCTTCGTCTAATTATAAGAAAAATACAAATAGATTTATTAACCTATCGCATTCTGCGAATAAATGGGTCATCGAAGGGTATTCAATACAGCTGATACCCTTTATGAAATTAAGAAAAACAATCGCACTGCCTTTGTACTTTTGAAATTGCAGTTGACAGTTCTCACGAATAACGCCTGAAGGATTAAGATCTAATCATCGAAATTAGTTTTTTTGCCTTATGATTTGGACATAGTCAGACGAGAGATGTTATTCGAAGCGTTTATTTGGCATATTTTGCATACGGGCAGACAGGAGCTTGTCTATCAACCAATATCTCGGGGTAGCCACCACCCCGAGTTAAACCAAGAAGGAAAAGAGACAAGATTAAAAAAACTTACTGTGAAACTAGTAAAGCACATTAAGGCAAGGTTCCCTGCCGATCAAGTGACGAAAAATCTACCTGATCTGGCGAACCCATGCTGGACGAAAACTGTGTCCTGAAGTATAACTTCCCGCTGTTTCGGGTGACAGTGTCAATCCATTTAAATTAAATTATTTTAATGTCTGAAGAGACCGGAAAAGAGTTTTGAAGAAGGTGAGTTAAAGGAAATCAAGTAAAAGTTTAGGTTACCTTTGGTTCAATTTAATTATTACTAGACAATATGCTAATCAAGCTGAATTATCATTTATGGGGAATTGGAGTGTAACGTTTTCCCCTAATTATATGTTAACACGGTGTGTGCGATAGACTTATCTCCACGTGGTGCACCCTGGACAACGTATACTCATACGGCAAAAAGTCTATTAAACGGCAGTTGACTTTAAACTACCATAACCCCACTGTAAGTCATATTCGACTCCTTCCACAGTACTCATCTCGCCTTTTTTCTACCTTTGTGTCTGTCTCTTTAACATCTTTGAAACACTCTTCTGTTCCCCCTCCCTCTCGAATTTTTTCAATTTGATGTTCCTTCCCCTCTGTGAAGCCTGAAATTAACTAAAGGGCTAATGATAACCATCATGACGCCTGTCATTTGATATAAATAAATGTTAGCACTGATAGGAAAGAACAGAGCTGTGCATTTTTTTCTTCCCTTCGGTATCACTCTCTTGACCCCCTGATTACCGTGGCAACTGCTAAACTTCGTATTNAGAGGGGAAGGAGCATCAAAGTGTAAAAAATTCAAGAGGGGGTGGGGAGGGAACAGAAGAGTGTATCAAAGACAAAGGTAGATAAGGTGGAAAAAAGGTGGGATGAGGACTGTGAAAGTAGTCGAATATGACATACAGTGGGGTCATGGTAGTTTGAAGTCAACTGCCAGGTAATAGACTTTTTTGCCGTATGATAATACGTTGCCCAGGTTGCACCACGTGGAGGTAAGTCTATCGCACACCCCATATGCTGCTTTAATTCAGTCAATTAAGTGGCTGGCTTTAGCAGTACTACCACAACGATTAGTGTCTTTCTCCACAGTCTCCAACACGGTTACACTCGCCCATCGAATTACGATCTGTAAGATGGAGTAAATGTTTAAGAGATTATAAATCAGTGGAAAATTTTATGCTTCCGGAAAAAGGACACCCTTTGTAAAAGTACGAGAATGTACTAATATGCCAAAAAAGTAGAAAGTCATTGGTCCCAAATGAAAACGTTCTGGACGCGTGTGGTGGAGAAAGAATTGCAGAGAAAAAGTCTGTGGTGTGTGGAACTTTCAGTCTAGACATATTATATTTTTAACTCACGTCAATATAACTGCAACTGCTGTTGAAATTAAGCAGCGAAAATGGCATCCCCAGAATGGTAATTAGTGTATTAAGGAAATCAATAATTTGATTTGTTGGCCTAAAGCATGCTAGGGCTGGGAGAGATATTGATTAAATCAATTGATAACAAGTGAACAGGAGGTAAAGCGAATTTTCCTAATGAAATAAAAGGTATAAAATACAATTAACATAAATGAAATTTACACAATATGAAATTTTTTCTTGCCTTTAAGATGTTTCTTTTTATTGTGAGCAAAAAACGTTGGGGGAGGGACTGAATTAAAATACCTTTTTGCCATTCGATTTAAGTTTGAAATACTAAAATTGGTTAATTGTTTATATAAGGACATACGTAACAGTGCCGTAATCATATTTTTTGCAGTTGACTTCTGACTTCAAACTACCATGGCCCCACTTTATGTCATTTTCGACCACTTCCACAATACTCATCTTACTTTTTCTCTACCTCTGTGTCTGTCTCTTTTACATCTTTGAAACACTCTTCTGTTCCCCCTCCCTCTCGAATTTTTTCAATTTGATGTTCCTTCCCCTCTGTGAAGCCTGAAATTAACTAAAGGGCTAATGATAACCATCATGACGCCTGTCATTTGATATAAATAAATGTTAGCACTGATAGGAAAGAACAGAGCTGTGCATTTTTTTCTTCCCTTCGGTATCACTCTCTTGACCCCCTGATTACCGTGGCAACTGCTAAACTTCGTATTATCAAATTACACAAGGATGATGATACAAAAGGAATCGAGGAGTAATGCAATTAAACAATCGCAAAATGATCTATTTATATCATATGGCAAACTTTTTGATAGTTATCATGGGGTGTGCGGTTGACTAACCTCCACGTGATGCACTCTGGACTACGTATACTCAT